AGATCCAACTATATACTGCCTATAAGAGATTCATTGGGCTTTAAGGAATACGTAGGCTTAAAGTAAAGGAATGCTAGAAAATATATTCCATCCAAGTGGAAACCAAAAGAAAAGAGGGGTACTTACACTTATAACAGACAAAACAGACTTTGAAGCAAAATGCTAACAAAAGACACAGAAGATCATTATGTAATAACAAAATAGTCAAATCATTAGCTATAAATATTATAAACATATGCAACCCAAATGGAAACACCTAAATAAGGGTGCCTGGGTGGGTCAGATGCTTAACCGAACTGATTTTGGCTCAGACTGTCATGATCTCACAGTCTGGAGATCAAGCCCTGTGTAGGGCTCTGTATTGGATGTGTAGGTTGCATGGGATTCTCCTTCTCCCTCTCCCTTTGACCCCTCCCCACTTGCACATAAGCTCTATGAATCAATCAATCAATACCTAAATATATTAAGCAAATACTAACAGATCTAACCAATAATAGTAGGGCGCATAATCACCTTCATCAGTGTCATCCAGGCAGAAAAGCAAATGAAGAAGAGACCAGAGAAACAAAATAAAAAGTTGAAGAAATTCAGCTTTTTTGAAAATACAAACAAAATTGACAAAATTAACTAACTAGCCTAAGAAAATGAGAGAGAAGACTTGAGTAATAAAAATCAGAAATGAAAGAAGAGGCTTTACAACTGATATTACAAAAATAAATAGGATAAGTAATTTCCATGAACCATTATATGCCAACAAATTAGAAAATTTAGAAGAGATTGATAAATTCCTTGAAATAAACATCTTATCAAGACTTAATCACAAAGATCTAGAACATATGAGCAGACCAATTCAGAGTAAACAGAAAAGACTGAGTCAGTAATCAAACACCTCCCAAGTAAAAAGAGCAAATAGTATCATTGGTGAATTCTAGCAGATATTTACAGAATTAGTGTGAATCCTTCTCAAACTCTTTCAGAAAATAGAAGAGGAGGTAACATTCCCAAGCTTCCTTTTAAGACTAGCATTATCCTGATACCAGAGCCACATAAGGATACCACAAGAAGGGAAAACTACGGTCTAATATCCCTGATTAATATAGATGCAAAATATCTCAGGAAAATATTAACAAACCAAATTCAACAGCACATTAAGGAAAATATACACTATGGCCAAGTAAGATTTATCTTTGGGATGCGAGGATAGTTCAACAATGAATAAATTAATAAATAAATGGGATATACCACATTAACTTAAAGGTAAAACAGAGATGACTGTCTCAGTATATAAAGAAAAAGCATTTGACAAAATACAACATTCTTTCATCATAAAAACTCTCAACAAATTGAATATTAAAGGAATATAATTTGACTCGATAAAGGCCATATACAGCTAACCCATAGCTAAAATCATTTTCAAAAGTGAAAATTGGAAAGCTTTCCCTCTAAAATGAGAAACAAGACAAGAACAACCAGTCTTACTGCTCTTATTCCACATAATTCCAGAAGTCTTAGCCAGAGTAATCAGGCAAGATAAAGAAATAAAAGCTATCCATATCAAAAAGGAAAAAGTTAAATTTTTATTGTTTGCAGATGATATGATCTTATATATTAGCAAATTCTAAGCATTCCACCATTTTAGTGTTTTATATTCCATTGTTCAAGGTAATTTTAAACAGAGACATATTGTTATGAACTAGCATTGCATAGCCATCACCTGTGTTTGTTTATCTTGCTTAGAATTCTCAAATCCCTTAAATAACGCTAGCAGCAGCTACTTTAAATTAAATAACTTGAATACCAGAGTTTCACTGATGATGTCAATAAAGGAAGAAAGACTTTATACAAGTAAATACAACTTGAGGATAGTCTCATAAGAAGGCACTGCAAGCAGGAAGAGCTCCGTAATAAGATTTGTGTACTATAATTGAAAATGGTCACACTCTAACTTGATTCACAATTGTGCAAGGGGTTGGCATTATAAACATTATAAAAGGCCATTTCTAGAAAATAGGTTATACCTATTTATATCTATATGTGTGTATATAATATGTATTTTATATTTTATGTCACATATATTTTATTAAATATATTACTATATTTATACATTAAATGTATATTACATTTTTATTACAAAACATTTATATTTGTGTATTTAAATATTTATTTATTTGTTTTGGGAGAGAGAGCTCACACAAGCAGGGGAGGGGCAGAGACAGAGAGAGAATTCCAAGACTCGCCACCCAGTGCAGAGCTTGATCTCACAACAATGAGATCATGGCCTGAGCTGAAATCAAGATTTGGAAGCTCAAATGACTCAGCTATATGGGAGGTCCAATATATTTATATATATTCTATAATATGGACATTATAAAATATATAATTATATGTAGTATATATTTTATACATATTCATATATCTTATATAACTAAATATATATAGATATTTTTTGGCACAAACTCCGCAGCTATTTGTACCCTGCACCACAATCATTATCACCTGATTCCATAATTTATATTAGACTACATGCCTGGTATTGTACATTTTATGGATATTGATGCGTATACAATTTGATAATTACATGATGTATGGTGATGTAATCATTGTAGTATATAGAATGGTTTATCCTAAAAATCCATTCTCCTCTGCCAAACTCCCTCCCAGCCCAATCCCTGGAAACCACTGATATTTTATTGTCTCCATAGTTTTGTCTTTTCTAGAATGTCATCTGGTTGGAATCACACTGTATGTAGACTTTTCAGGTTGGCTTCTTTCACATAGTAATGTGTATTTGCAATTTCTCTATGCCTTTTCATGGCTTAAAACTCATTTCTTTTTAGTGCTGAATAATACTTCATTCTGAGGTGTCTTCATTTATTTATTTTCATAATTCTATTTGGCAGCTTTATCTTCTGCCTCAGTGACTTTATACTTTTTTAAGTTTATTCATATATTTTGAGAGAGAGAGAGAGAGAGAGAGAGAGAGATCAATCGAGCAAGGAGAGGGACAGAGAGAGAGGGACAAACAGAATCGCAAGCAAGCTCCGCACTGTCAGCAGAGCCTGAAGCAAGGTTCAAACTCAAGAACTATAAGACCACAAACTGAGCTAAAACCGAGTCTGTTGCTTAACCAACTGAATCACAGAGATGCCCCATTACTTTATCATTTCTTATAGTGCAGGTATTCTGGTTATGAGTATTTTCAGCATTTGTAGATATGAAATATTTTTTATTTTGACAATTTTTTCTTTCATTGTATTTTACTGAGTTGAATTTTTTTCTAAGTTTTTTATTTATTTCTGAGAGAGAGAGTGTGAGCAGGGGAGGGTCAGAGAGAGAGAGGGAGACACAGAATTTGAAGCAGGCTCCAGGCTCTCAGCTGTCAACACCGAGGCCAATGTGGGCTTGAACCCAAGAACATGAGCCAAAGTCAGACGCTTAACCCACTGAGCCACCCAGGCACCCCAAACTGAATTTTTTAAACTAACCCCCATTTTTTTTAGTTATTTGGTATATAGCCCTATGAGGGTTTTGGTTTTTTCCTGTTTTTTGTTTGTTTTGAAAGAGAGAATGAACAAGCAGGGGAGGTGCAGAGAAAGGGCGGAGGATCTGAAAGAGGCTCCATGGTGACCAGAGAGAGCCCAACACCCTATGAGTTTTAACGCATCTATGGATTTCTGTAAACAAAACCACAATCCAGACACAAAGGAGCTCCATTATTCTATAGCCATCACTTCTGAATGATGTTTTTACTGCATATAGAATTCTAGATTGAGGGTTTTTGCTTTATTTTGTTCTGTTCTTTTCAGCATTTTCTTTCAGCATTTCTGAAGGTCTATCTGCTCTATTTTCAAATCTTTTAAGTCACTTTTTATAATTTCCTCTCCCATGTATAAAAACAAATCAAGTATTTTGGGGATCAAAATGCATACAATTTAGAGGAACACCTTTACACAAGAATAATACAAAATTATAATTATTGAATTAGGTACAGAGCTTGCACAACAATGTGAACGTACTTAATTACATGTAACTGTCCACTTAATGATTTTTTTAAGTGGTAAATTTTATGTTGGGTGTAATTCACACCTATAAAAATTGCAATAAAAAAAGCAAAACAGAACCAAAAAAATCAGTTGCTGAGACTTTGAAGGTACTTGTGTAAGTAGAAATTGATTTTAAGCTTTATTAACTTCACAGAAAATTCACGTCTGCCTGTATATACTGTCAAGCTATTGTTTCTTTAACTATCATGAGCATAGTCACTTTAAGTTTATTTCTAATACCTGAAATGGACGTATTTTGTTCCCTGTTATTGTTTATTGCCACAACAACCTTCATTACACTCCCCTTGGAGTGAATTGAGGGCATCTTTATCAAGCGGGTCCCATTTTGAAATCACAGATAAACACGAGGAGGATCTCCTGCTAGACCCGTATCATAAAAGCTGCTGACTTTTGAATTCTACCCCTTTTTTCCTGATTGGTCTTCAAATTCAAATGTCAAGTTTTCCAGAATTAGAAATCCCATAGTGGAAAAAAAAAAAAGTATTTTTGCTTTTAATGCTGAATAAGCCTTCTGGTTTTCTATTTTTCATCAGACTTAAAAAAATTTTTTTAATGTTTTATTTATTTCTGAGAGAGAGAGAGAGAGAGCGTGAACATGGGAGGGTCAGAGAGAGAGGGAGACACAAAACCTAAAACAGAGTCCAGGCTCTGAGCTGGCAGTCAGCACAGAGCCCAACGCGGGGCTTGAACCCACGGACCGTGAGATCATGACCCCAGCCGAAGTTGGACGCTTAACTGACTGAGCCACCCAGGCGCCCCTCATCAGACTTCTTCTTGATAATATATTTAAAAGTTCTTAGGAGATACTTTTTTAGGAGATAATTTCTATAACGTGTACTAGATTTATCTTTTTTCCACAAGAAAATTTGGTCCGAATAAACTAATCTACTCCATTTCTCACAGTGTATGTGTCCTCACTTTAAAATAATACTTTTGGCTCACTTAGGCAGCACATATACTAAAACTGTAACGATCCAGAGAAGATTCACATGGCCCCTGCGCAAGGATGACACACAAATTTGTGAAGCTTCCTTACTTTTATGACATCAGTCATTTGAGGACTTTACGACACATGAACATAAGAGAATCAAAAATAAATAAAACCAGGGAGGGGGACAAAACATAAGTGACTCAAATATGGAGAACAAACAGAGGGTTACTGGAGGGGCTGTGGGAGGGGGAATGGACTAAATGGGTAAGGGGCCTTCCTTAAGGAATACCTTAAAGAATCTACTCCTGAAATCATTGTTGCACTATATGCTAACTAACTTCGATGTAAATTAAGAAAATAAGTTTAAAAAATAAAAACTATACTTTTGGATAGTGACATGTTTTCTATGAAATTTCCAAAAAAATAAAAATAAAGGAAAAAATAAATCTACCTTTTCATTTTCCCATTGCTCAAATAGGGCAGTATGTTGGTATTATTTCCCTCCTTGTCTTTTTTAAAGATTTTTGTTTACCATCCACAATTTCTAAATTAATATTGTATTAAGGAATATTGTTCACGTTGCCTCCTTTTCATAAACATCATTTTAGATGGTTGCTTGAGGGCAAAGAGTACGCCCTTATATCTCCCCTGCTGTTGAACACAGATACCTACTCTCATTAGACATTCAGAAATGTTTGTTAACTTGAATGAAAGTTCAGGCATTTTAAGTAGAAAGCTTTCTGGGACAGTCCGTTCTTCCTACCACCTTACCTAATACAATAATAGACTTCAAAAGTTGATATTCAATAAACAGTCCCTGAATTAAATGCTGTAAGACTCATGTTGTCAAGTGACTCCAGGACAGAAAGAGATGTGGTTTGTGCACGTGTGTCTTGCCATGCTCGGGGTGCCTGTTGTATTCAGTTTAGGGAAATAGTCACAAATCTCCAAAGCAATGGTCGTGGTAACTGATCAGTAAAACTGATGTTTTACTCCAGATAAGAAGATTTATCTGGCAACCATTCTACTTGCTTTTGCCTTAGTCTCTCTATAATCAGTTTTCAATACAGCAGCCAGGAATATTCTTTTAAAGTTCAAATGGATCATGTCACTCTTCTCCTTGTACCCTCCAACAATGTTCTATCTCAGAGCAAAAGCCAAATCCCTTAAAATAGTTTACAGGGCATTGCATGATCTGGTCATGCTGCCTCTCTGACCTCCTCTTTCACTGCATGTTGCTTGCTGTGGTTCACTCGCACTGGCCTCCCCACCGTTCCTCAAACACACCAGATATGCTTGCTTTTCTCCCAGGGTTTTGGCATTTGCTCTTCTGCCAGGAAACGTCCCTCCCTCAAATTCTGTCACTCCCTCAGATCTTTACTGTCTCTGCTCAAATGCTGACTCTGAGGTTTTTCCTCTCTTCAACTAGGCATTTCTTTGACCTCTTTGCTACTTCATTTCTTCCTTAGTGTTGTACATACTTAATTGTCATTTTGGTTTTGCTTTCTCCAAACTAAGCTTCCCTGGGTAGAGAGTCTCTGCCTGTTTTTTCATTAATACAAAACTCCAATGCCTAGCAGCTGGAATATTTGCTTGGTAAATATTTCTTAAAGATATAAATGAATGAATGCTGAATACTCTATCATGAAGTCAATGATTTTATTGTATACAGTTTTCTCTAAAACCTAAAACAACTTTGTGAAATTATTATTAGCTCAAGGTTACAGAAAATGAAAGGAGAAGTTGAGAAGTTAAGGACCTTGCTCAAGGCTCCACTAAATGTATATATGTATTATTTATCGATATATAAATTTTTCTTTCTCTAGAGTGAGAGGGAACGTGATAGAGTGCTCATGTGTCTATGCAAGAGAACCCACGTTTGGGCTTCATACGAAAATCTTGTTTTTCTCAAAGTTCAAATTCTTTTCTTTATATCATGTTGGGTTATGGATGGAATGGAAATAGTTTAACTATTTCCTGACAATTTTACAATCTAATTTAATTTACCTTCTGGGCTGTATTTGTCATTGACCTAAAGGAGAAATCCTATGGTTAAGGATCTTGAAAACTCGCACAGCATACCACAGTAGAAAAAGATAAGATCTTTGAAATTTAAAGGAAAAGAACTCAATGATTTCTTTGTAACCTTGAGATAATACTCGGGTTTTTAGGCCTCAACCTCAACATCTACTCTTTTTCTAAAATATTATGTTTTATTTTTTATATTTGTAAGAGAGACAGAGACAGAGTGTGAGCGGGGGAGGGGCAGAGAGATGTAGACAGAATCTGAAACAGGCCCCAGGCTCCAAGCTGTTAGCACAGAGCCTGATGCAGGGCTTGAACTCACGAGCAGTGAGATCATGACCTGAGCTGAAGCTGGACACGTAACCAACTGAGCCACCCAGGTACCCTGCAACATCTGCTTTTGTAATAGTAGACTGGGCTTCATATACTGAGATGTATACCTTGAGTCTTGTTTGTAAGCTCTTCCCTTACATCAACATTCACTTTGAATGACTTCATTAACTTCTGACATGCTGGAATTAGTGGGAAATGTCTCAGAAATAAAATTACTATAGAACCAGAACTCTAAAATGTATTCTAAATTTATATCACATGCTTAGTATTTTATTACTTTTCTCTCTGTATCTCTGATAGCCTATGCACATTGACTTTTTTTTCCAATGTCTATTTATTTTTGAGAGAGAAACAGGAAGAGGGAGAGTGGGGACAGAGAAAGATGGTCTGAATCTGAAACAGACACCAGGCTTTGAGCTGTCAGCACAGAGTTGGATGTGGGCTTGAACCCACAAGCCATGAGATCATGACCTGAGCCGAAGTCAGACACTTAGTCCACTGAGCCAACGAGGCACCTCTTAATTTTTTTTTAATAAGAGAATTAATGAACCTGAGCTTAGGGATAGATCTAGCTTCCAAATGCTTTACTCTGGTAATTGTGGTTGACTGCAAAATGCTTGTAAATTTTTTTTAAAAAAGAGTGTGGTTGCCTTTAGGTGATGAGATCATGTATATCTTGGCCATATACAGGACAAGGACTGAATTTATTTTATAGTACAAGTAGGTTACAGAGTGGGAACGAATATATAGCACATCCTCAATTGGGCTAAACCTAATTCAAACATACTTATTATTTTTCTACCGTATGTCATATATTTTTCTAGATGCTTTTAGGATCATGTGGTGGTAGGATGGAACAGAAAAAAGTTTACTGTTGGCAGAAGTGATACCTGTCTTCATCCCATTTTTACTCATATTCTTTCCAATGAGGACTAAAAACATTGGATTAAAGTAGTCTTGATTAATCTTAGATCCCTCCAACACCACCACCACCAAGAGTAGTTGACTCCAAACTATTACTGTAAAAATTTTGACATACATCAACAGGCACATAAAGTTATCACTAACCTGCAAGAATATTTAAGATTGGAATAAATAGCAGAGAGTTTAGTTCAACTGCCCAAATAAAAATCTTAGAAGTGTTGAATTTCAAGTACAAGGTTTTTTTGTTTTGAATTCCATTATTAAGACCACATGATCCAGATTGTTTATGTATCTTTCCACTTAAATTGACTTCTTTTGATTTGGATTAGCTTCTTGACTGATTCTGCATCCTCTGGGAGAGGCTCTGAGCACTTGACAAGCAGAATGAGAAATTCAATTATTGCTATGTTAAATCCATCTTCAATCTGACATTTACCCTCAATTGAATATTTTCATGGAGTCTGAGACTCCATTAACCATTCCCTTCCTTTATTCCTCATTATTCACATCTCCAGATTTATCTCTTACTCCTCACAAGAAATCCTTCTATTTTAACAAGCTTAAACAACCAGAATAGAAATTCTCTCTAGGAAATTAGCCTGTCTAGTTGTGTCTTCACATATATCCATTTAGTTTCTAATAGTTTTAAAGACTAAATAAGATAATATAGAAGAAATTGCTTTAGAAAGAACATATATATTACAAGGTTAAATGTACTCTTTTTGGACAGGTGGTAATATATGAATATGTACACAACCCTAATAAGTAGATAACAACATGATTATAGGATTTAAAAAATAGACAGTTTTGGTGATACAGGGTCGAAGAATTAATTAGTGATAAAATATCAAGGGTTAGAGGAATGAACCGTAAATAAGAAAGTGATTTACAGAAGCAACCAAAGAACCATATAATGAAAAAATAACTTGCCCAAGGTCACATGCCATTCATTAATTCATTCATAATTCATCCACCCATCAAGCATTTATTAAACACAAGTAATACAATGATGAGCAAAAAATGCTCCATGTTTTCATTGAGGTTACAGAATCCAAGAAAGATCTCTTCCCATAAAATAGTAAGCTTCTTGAAGCACAACTATCTAATGTTAAGAAAACAGCTGAAGTCTTAGAACATGGAAATGAAATACCACATATAGAAATCCTCAGTCTCATTAGAAATCTAGTCCTTCTAGCTAATTTAAATTTCCTCTACTTAAGGTAATATGATTATATAGTTTTTTGTATACATTAGGAAACCATTTTCTTTAATGAAAAGTATACCTTTCCTTCAATGAATTGGGAAAACTTCAAGAGGCACCTGTTTGTGAATCATTCTTCTTTCAACATCATTTTTTGAAAGATACTGAAGATGTTGTACAAAGATTAAAAACATATGATTCTTGTCTCAAACGATTCAAAATATAATAAGGAAGATAAATGTAACACATAATTGCAGGCAAAAGCAATAAATACAATCACATAAGCTTAGGAGGGATGAATTCTACTGAAAAATTCAAGAAAGGCATTGCATAGAGTAAGACCTACTTCCAGAGGAAGGCTTTGAATTAATAGACTTTTCTGTTCATTCTTTTCTACTGCTAATTTGAAATTAATGTGATAAGGTAAGATTGTATTGTGGCATTTATCCAATTAAAATTGATTGAATAACCACCATTACATCGACTTTATGATAATGACTAAGGGTATAACAACAGAAAAGTCCATGGCCTGAAAAACCCAGTCTTACAAGGAGGTGAAACTAGAAACAAATCCATTCAGCAAGTCCTAAATGGTCTCTTACTACATGTTCCAAAGTTGGAGTAGAG